CACACACACACACACACACCACACACACACACACACACACATACTACCCATACACATAACAACAGCCATTAAATTAATTAGATTTCGTCCACGTCCCTCTTTGACCCCATGTTTGTACAGCCAGCTTACCCTAACCTACCTAGCCTACCCTAGTCCTAACTTAACCTACCCTAAACCTACTCTAAAACCTAACCTAAACCTAGCCTAACCATAGCCTAACTTAACCTACCCTAGTACTCTAACCTAACCTCAACCTAGCCTAACCCTCTAGCTAAGTGCTCTAACCACCCATGACTCGTAACAGCCTCACATTGTATCTACAGACGCGTACAACCTCTAACCTTAACCCCTCAGCCCTACCCTAGCCCTAACTTAACCTAACTAAAGCTACTCTAACCTAACCTAACCTAGCCCTACCCTAGCCTAAACTTAACCTAAACCCTAACCTACTCTAAACCTAACCTAACCTAGCCTACCCTAGCCTAACTTAACCTAACCTAACCTACTCTAACCTAAACGCTACCTGCTAACTAAACCCTAACCTAAACCTTAAACTAATCTAACCTAACCTAACCTACCTAAAACCTTACTCTAACCAACCTAACTTTAAGCCTAATCTAACCTAACCTAACCTACTCTAACCTACTCTAACCTAACCTAAAACTTAACTAATCTACTCAGCCCTTAACACTACAACCTAACTTAAACCTACTTAAACCTAACCCTAAACCTCAAACCCTAACCTAACCCAAACCTAAAACCATAACCTAACCTTAAACCTAACCTAACCTAACTAGCACTAAACCTTAACCTAACCTAACCTAACCGTAAACCCTAACCTAAACCTTAAAAAAACCTTAACCCTAACCTACCTTAGGCCTAAAACCTAACCTAACCCTAAACCTAACCTTAAACTAAACCTAAACCTTTAACCTAACCTAACCTAAAACCTAAACCTTAACCCCTAAACCTAACCTACCCTAAACCGTTAAACCTAACCTAAACCTAACCTACCTAACCCAAAAACTAACCTTAACCTAAACCTAAAACCAACCCTAAGACCTTAACCTAACCCTAACCTAAGCCTACCCTACCCTAGCCT